TAAGATATTTATATCGTTTTATTTTTTCTAAGTATTGTCCAGAAACTATTAAAGTTATATAGATAAAGTTACATTTAAATGTTTATATCTTCCCTATAAAAATACAGCTGATATATGATTATGTTAGATAAGCAATAACTATAAAATAGAGTGGAGAAGTGGAATGGAGGTTAATGAGTAATCTAATGTTTGCTGCCCGCAAAGACACATTAAAATTATTGCTTCCATTAACGGATACAAGTGTTTCAATAAGCATATAGCTTCCAACACAATCATGCTTAAATCAATTCAATCGAATAAACAAAGTAATAAGAAGTAAAGTGTTGAAACTTGAAGGTAATGTTTGGGCCTTATTTCTTGTTTCTTTGTTTCCAATATATAGTATTATCTTTATTATATAGAAATATAATTAACACCCTGATTTTTACATTTCATAGTAAAACATTTCTTGAAAAAAAAATCCAGAGATTACATTTGAACATTTTGTAACAATTAGTCCCAGTTTAGGTAAAAAACAAAAAATGCAAACGACTCGCAGAATCGCATTGCGTTATTTCTTACTAAATTATTGTAAATACAGACACTACCTGTTTGATAGGGCTCATCAATACAGCAAAATTTGTAAGATGTGCACATTCACAAACTGAGACGTCATTCCATCGTCTGACCATATACCCTGGGATTCACTGGTAAATGTAATCTTACATAATTATGCACACATCAAGTGTCAGGTTTATTCAGCTTAATGAGGTTATACATATATTTGAATAAAAGCACTGAATTTACTGAAAAGAAACGAAGCATTAAATTAGGACTAACAACATCTTAGAGCTTAAATCAGTTAAATATCGGTCAACTGTAAAAATCAATAAAATGTTTAGGTGGTGTTTATGCACGTGTGGAAAGGTCGAGGTGTACCCATGAAAAATTAAATTAAAAATAATATAAAATAAAACAAAACAAAAATCACATTTGCTCGATATTACTTTTGTGTATCAAAACATTTGATACTATGTGTCGTTGCAACAAATGCCACTAATTTTCTGTACATTAACAATTAAAAGATAAAACGTTTAATATGTTTATTGTGAACAATTTAGAAAAAGACGTTGATCTGCCTAATACTAGTATTCTATAGTTCTGAAATGCGTTTTCTTCATTAGAACAATATCAAAATACTTAATCATATAGCTAGTTAGATTATTAAATCTACTTTTTAACAAAATAATACCTTTCCTTTTGCCAATAAACGCATATTGGAGATGATAAAGTTTTCTGAAATATAAATAAGACTTGACATTTATATATCGCTGAGGAATACATTTTTAACACTATTATTTAAAATCCAACGAATTAAACTTTAATGAGATATTTTTTTAATGATTAATAAAATCATTCATTCAATCATGTCTTGAAATGATTTTTTTATTTAAGCATTTTTAAAGTAATCCAACAGGATTTTGCAACGTTTTGCCACTTGAATACTACTCTGCACATTCATAGCAATTTTGATAGGTATAACTCACATCAAAATGCTCAAATGTTATGGAAATCGGAGGATTTAACTCCCTTGCTGAATATTTAGACGGTATCGTCATTGCAAGGATTGCTCCATTAATTTGGTTTTCCTCTGACGTTACTGCACCTGCACTATATATGTGTGTATAATATAAATATGCAACGTATTATAGATCTAATTATATTATTATAAAATATATATTAATATCTATTATATCTATAATATCTGATTTCAAATACAATGTAAATTATTATATTGTGTACTGTACATTTGTACACTCTTAAAAATTGAATTGTTTAAACATATAAAGGTTACAAAGGTTTTGATTTGATTTAGCTTTACTATGAGTAGAATTATATTAACTTAAAAAGAATTTTAAAAGATCATTAAAATCTAATACTTAATATGTACACGTACGTTTTAGAATATGTATTTGGTAGAATACCACTGAGGTTCCTGTATACAACAGCTGTAGCAATGACTTGATCTGTTACATCTACATGTACGTCATAATGGTTACAACAAGTGCAGACAATTTATGTTAATCAGCATTTTCGACATATACACCCAGCATACTTAGAATAAGTATCATAACTCGTAAACTTTCATGTACAATAGTACAGACAGTGTTTATCAAATAATATGCTTTATGCAGTATGCAATATTTATTCGTTTCATTTTTTTTTATATCCAGAATGCAGTTATCCAAGAACATTCAGCTGTTTATTTAATCAATTGACATGGTGACATTCCTTCATAAGAATGGATATCATAAAACTAAGCATTTTAAATAAACACTAAATACATAAACTAACAAAATATTCAAAAATTCGGTTTTGTTTTTTTATAATGAGTTTATCATGCTACAAACAATTATATAGTGTCACAAGATAAAAATTTTAAGACAGACAATGTTAATCTAATCTTTCTTACCATCAAACGCTTGTGGCTGCAATTCTATTTTGCTGCTAGCTGTGTTAAGCCATTCGATGTCAACGTTTTCGTCCGGATACACAATCTTGCTTTCTGCTAATGTTTGTGCCTGAAGCGCTGAAAATAGATGTTAATGATCAATGTTATCTAATATAGTATTTGGCAAAACTCGGCTACTTATTTTTTTCTAATACATGGCCCCATCGAAGAGCAATTATTTTTTGCAATTGTCCCCGGTAAGTGTTTTTGATATATATAATTGGTAGTAATTTTCAATAGTTTCAGTCTTTTATCAAAAGTCTATTGCAAATCAAAGAGAACGGTCAAACACTTGGCTCATTGAACACTGTGCGGTTTGGCTCATCGAAACTATTAACGTTTGATGGACTAGTTTAGTTTGACCCAAATGCAAGCACTTACAATGTTTTATCCCGTCTTGTTCTCCTAAATGATTCCATGATAAAAAAAAATCAACTGTTATAGAATTGACTTTTTAAAAGCCTTTCAATGTCATTAGTGATATTAATTGTCTAGAACTTAAATTATCTTTAATTCATATCAGACAAAGTTATCTACTGTTGAGAAAAGTGCTAGAACAACCTGTCTTACACACACGTGTAAGATAAGTTGCATTCATTAAAAGACGTCATTAACGAATGAACTGTGTTCTTAGGATGAAGTCATTTTGCCAATTTGAAGGAAGTTGTAAATTCATACTCTACTATACGAAAAAACTGCTAAATGAAAGTGTAAGTTTTTGTAATTTCTTTCCGAAATATAATTTATGAGTAATATGCAAGAAAAAGAAGCAAACACAGGCTGTCGCTACAGATGGGAACATCTAGCTCTCGGGGAAGTGTTTAAAGAAAACTGTGCAGAGCCACGCTACCATCCTCGAGGTAGATATTCCGGTCTGTAAAGGCAGCCAGTGTAAAATTTCATATAACCTGCATTAAAAACAAAATGTCACGATGTTTCACGAACATTGGTTGTCCTGACAAGGGTAATTTAATTGAGATCAGCATATCGTCTTTTTCAGTTGTATAATCTATTTCAAACGTCCGTGAAGTCAGTAAGATACATACCGATATTAGCATTTTTTATATTTCGTTTCTCGCCAGGTTGCAGATTTTCACTGAGTGTTTCAGCAATTTGATCTACTGCTGACACTAACTGAACTGCACTTGTACTCTCCTAAAACAAGATTGTGTCATAAATACAACATCTTTTGTTTGTAAACAATGAACATTAGAAAATTAACAAAAGTTTTTAAAATTTGCCTTCTTTCAATGTAAACTATCTTTATAGATATGAATAGTTACGTAATTATTCATGCTCAGTAAAATATTGTACGTTAACTTTTCTAAAATAATTACTACACAGTTTATCTATTGCTACATTGCCTTTAAACATGTTCTAAGACGTGTACATTTGAAAACATAATAACCCCACCGATCATAAACCGAAGATCATGTAGCGCACGGGTTTGAGAAAATAAATCATTATGAGTGAGTTTTTGGCTTTTTGTAAAAACAACTTTTTCATAGCAAAAGAATGATACTGAATTATAATTTCTAAGGAAGACAAAGATTACAAAAATCAGAGGTACCGGTTCTGATTGCCAGGTGTCACTGTTATTTTTGTCAATGATATTGTCCACAGAATCAAAGAAACTCTGAAGTATAACACAAAACAAAAACAAAAACAAAAAATGTCTAAGCTCACACACGAGTTTTTCAATGACATTCGCCCATACGAAAAAAATTGGTTTAACTTTTAATTTCTTCTTTTTAACAGATTAACAGTGAAGTCATTATCATCAAAGAGGCAACGACATTGCAGTACTAAGTTTTTATCAACATATTTCTACTGCGTGCCAAACGCAGTATGTACTATGGTTTTATTATATTTTGGGCTCTTTTTGGTAGTTTATGTGGATTGTAAGTGTTTTTTGCAATGTGTAAAACTACTTTCTTTGTTCTTTTAAAATTTTTGATTTTTTTTTATGACAATAAGCTTGAATCTGAAAGCATGCTGCTTTAAATTTCATTTTCAAACTTGAATATTAAGCGACATATTTCTTTCTAACAACATTTTACATGAAAAGGGAGTTGTTGAGATAAGTGACTTACATCTAAAATCGACTCATTAATCACTAACTGAGCTGGCAGTACAGTCGCAATTGTTTTCAATGACGTTGTAAGCAGTTTCATTTCTCCATTAGTTAACTTCTCACTTGCAATTTCTCTTTGAACTGTGGCGCTTACTATGTCCGCCAAAACAGTATTAAAAATTTCCGGCTCTGAAGTATTACTCAGTGCATCAACCTTGGCAACGAGTAACATAAATTCATTATATTTATATTCATTATATTTGCGCTGATTATATGTCATGATAAATAGGGTAACACTAAACGCATATACGTACTATTTGGAGCAAACCAGGGCATTTTACAGTGTATATATATATTTAGCCGTAGCCAATAAAATATCCGGACTTCAATTGACATTGTGTACATACTAAACCAAGAATATTTATCTTTTGAGCAGCCACATTACTCTCCAAGAAATGAATTATGCCATGTTGTTTAATTGAATTAATTTTAGTAATGTTCATTATATTTGCGCTGATAATATGTCATGATAAATAGGGTAACACTTAATGCATATACGTACGATTTGGAGCAAACCAGTGCATTTTACAGTGTGTATATATATTTAGCCGTAGCCAATAACATTTCCGGGCTTCCATTGACATTGTGTACATACTATAGCTAGAATATTTATATTTTGAGCGGCCACATTACTATCCAAGAAATGAATTATGCCATTTTGTTAAATTGAATGTTAATTGTTTATGAATTGTTTAAAGTCAAGCAAATGTAAAGTTGTTTGAAACACAGTTCATGGCGAAAAAAAGTAACATTATATGGCCTGAGAAACAAATTTGCCAGGTTACTTACGACATTTCCGATATTTTCTACGGCATCTCGTATGCAGTTATACACAGGTAATTGCCATATTCCACCAGACGAACATGCTCTAGTAATGTGTCCTTGTTAATAATATAAATGATTATCTTTTTAAGTATTTATGAAACTTTTACCTGGGAATACATAGATCTTACCAAGGAATTCTTGTTATTATGTAAAATATCATCTTGGTTATTTCTTCCATGTTATTTTGATTGGCATGAAGGGTTAGTTGAATACCTACATTTTATGTTTATCCAAATATCAATTCAATAATAAATTGTTTACAATTGTAAATCACGGGAGTTGAACTGTTACCGTCATAATGTTCTCCATATTGCAAACAAAATAAACAAATTATTACTTATCAATTTTCATTTTGATTATAAGGAATCTAAATACCTGTAAAACCTTCGTCACAAGTATTGTTCACTACTAAACCAACAGGTGTATTATCCCAAATTGTGCCCCTGTTGTCAGTGGCTCTGGTGCATACCTCTACATCGTCAGTTTTAACTATACAACCATAAAGCAAATTTAAATTTGATTACTCTTAGACACAACAGTTATATAACTTACAATTTCTAAATAAATCTAAAAATCGTTTCATAATATTGCAAAAATGGATTAATTAGTCTTTCGTTCTATCAACCTATTGATTTGACAACATTTCTTTAAGATTTAACTATTTAACTGCTAGTTTTCTTATTTTGTGAGAATTTTAGTCACACCGACACTGTAAATGTCAAATGATGGCTTTCCAGCTTTTGTTGTAGAGGAGGCAGATCTCTGAAATCCAAATCACAAAAACAAATTTACAGACGAAACACGTAAACACTCACAGTTCTCGCAATCGTTGCCGTCATATCCGGGAACACAGTCGCAAGTATAGGATGCTATTTGATCGATACAGGTAGCTCCATTTTGGCATGGGTTTCCATCACACTCGTTTATTTCTGGAAAACAGAAAGTGATGTAATTCTAAATCATTGCAATATTGTTCAAAACAACCACCTGACAATGTCCGTTCGATATAATTTCTCCGTATGCACAAGTTATGCATTTTATAAAATGTTTTACCGGTACATGCAAATCCAGTTCCGTCATCTTCATATCCGGCATTACATTGGCAAGTTGAAAACGCCACACAACCTCCATTTGCAATGTTATTACACTGAAATATGTTTGTTAAGCAGGAATCCCCTATCTCAGCTGAAAGAGAAATTTATTAGAAACTGATACATAAAATAAAACTCAACGGTTATATGAAAATGAAATTTAAAAAGTTAATGTTAGTACTCTTGGTTCAATGGAAAGGTAACTCTATATATTAAAAGTTGATTGATTGTGCATGGTTTAAACAAATGACCCTTTAAGTAATGACTGTAGGAGTGTAAGTAAAGTCGTAGGCACATTTAGGTGTTAATTATCCTACACATTTAAGACTTTGATTCCTTAGCCATTTTTGAATACTTCTTATCATGTCCAAGAATATCACAAGTATTAACTAGTAAAATCCGACAAGAGGAAGAGTCCTTGTTGTCAGAATAAACTGTTGAATTAATAACTTTTATAAGGAATGAAATAAAATTATGAAGAATCATTTTAAAAGACGATCACCCACCTGGTTCACATGTTGGTGCAGCACCATCCCAACCAGTATCTTGCTGACAAGTTCTCGTTGCCGTGCCAACAACCTTGAATGCGCTAACACACGTGTATTGTGCAACATCGCCAGTATGTGTGCCGTCTGGTGTTATTACCTCGCCATTGTCTGGGTCAGTCAAGGCACCACAATCTAGAGATTTATATGAGTATTTTAATAAACATAAAGTTAACGTTTGAAAAAAGGAGTGATATGGTACATTTTGTGTGACATGCTTTACTTTCACTTTACTTTTCTTTTTTATTTTATTTTATCATGATTATGAATAGCAAAAAAAAGTTATTTAATTGATAATATCATGATGATAATAATCAGAAAAAATCCCAAACATTTTCACAATCAAGCAATTAATAAAATAAAGATTCATTACATTTTAATCATATTGCAATTTTTTTTCGTCTATATAAAAAATAATGCTAGCTCTATGATATTGCCAAAATATGCATATTGCATACATATCTTTAAACAAAACTTCTTATACGGTGTATTCTTTCGTCACGGAATGAAATAATCTTACTATATTCGCAAGCAACGTTGGTGGCTGTTGCTGTATACCCTGCAGGGCATTCACATAGCAAGGATCCTAAATTACAATACGAGTTAGGAAGGAAATTTGGACAATTCGCTTGTGTTGCCACAGTACATCCTGAAATGATTAAAACAAGATTCATCATCAATAAAAAACAGGAATACCAAAATATCGAGAATATCAAAAACACTCATTTGTAGTCATTTGAAAAGAACATCGATGATTTTATTTTGGACAAATGGATCAGAAGAACAAGGATATTAATTTAATAAAATATCAGTTAACGTACGCTCATAACTCGTTATTTACAATATGTTTTCTTATGTTCTTAAAAAGATTCCAAAATCAAGGTAGGAAATTTTATGTTCTTATTTTGAACATTGAAAATCAAATAATAAGAGGAATGGCTACTGTTTACTTTTTAATGTACGTGAACTACTGTAATATTTCAGTTTTGTAACTCACTAATGTGAGTAAATCAATCAATCAATCAACTATGCAAAAGTCAAAGTGCTTATACATCTCAAATATTTTATCTTAAATTATCTTATAGACATTGGAACTGAGCACTTTTTATTACAGTGACAATGTTTTGCCGATGTATTCTTGGAATGTCATGTGGCGTTTGTATTGAAATACAGGTGTCTCTGACAAATTGCACATAATGCTAAATGATCTGTAGTCTGTTTTACCATTGAAGGCTACAGCATGAGATCTCTGATCCTCCTTACACCTTTGTTTCTACATTGTTTTTGGCAAACCGTCATCAATTGTCTATAAATGACATCAAACGAATAACAATTTCTTTAACTTAACCTTTATACTCACATAACCGAACTTAAATCTAACACGTGGTCATCCTTGGAATAATTTTCAAAGTTGATGCGTCAGAAAAGATAATCTCTCGAACTACATTTTTTTTTTGTAAATATACTTCGAAAAAAATAATATTAAGGTAAACAATAGCATATTCTCTTTTCTCTTAGATAAAATATATTCCTTTCAAAACTTGTAACGTTTGTATCTCATATGTGACCACTACAAATTTGTTTTGCATTTATTTCTGTTTTTAATTACAATGAATCAAAATGAATGCAAATTATATGTATAAAACAAGCATCAGTATGTAATCAAATGTTCATATTATTAAAAAGATCTATTTCCCCTCATCGTTAGGTCGCCAAGATTAACACATTTTACTTTTCGGTGATATTTATGTATATTGTAGCATTAGCTTTACCAAATAAACAATAAGTTAGACACGTATTTGGACGTACCGATCACCCCAAGCTCCCCCATAACGTGTTCAATAACATATCCCAGTATTAATAACAGAATCAGCGTCTTCATTTTCAGAATAACCTCTAGTGTAATTCCATTCTTTTAAAACACTAACGAATTTGCATTATACATGTATAATAACAATTGATTTAATAATCAAATAGTGATTAATGTATATGTAATCGATGTTTCGATTGAGGGCAAAATAAAGTGATTGTATATTCGTTTAGATATCTTCATAATGTCTAGCTGTTATTGGTTTTGATCCATTAGATAAATATATTAAATTTATCACACATCTTCAGTCATGATAAAGAAAAACAAAAGAAGATATATAACAGTATTCATGGTTTAAATATCATTGCCAAAGTAGTGTTTAAACTTGACAGCATTTATAATCTTCTTCATTTTAATATGCAAAGATATTTTTACGGTTAAAAAAGTTCAGACTTCAGTAGGTAGCCTTGTCATACTATATACTAATCATTTCAATTGGTGATGAAAGTAACAAAACCAAATGAACAAAGTAGAATACTTCACTTTAAACAATTCAATCATATGAATATACAAGTCCAAGATAAAATGATAAAATAGAATTAACACTTTATCGATGCCAAAAATTAATGTATCTTAAACATTGATAAATTATGTCTAGGTATAATAGATACATTAAGAAACCCTTAAAAAATCCAACACGGCAGAATTAAAAATGCAGGCTCGGTTTGATTGAGCTGTTAGGGTCCGACCCCAAAGTGCGTTACACTTCACATCGCAATTCCAGGGTCCAACGTTCTTTGGGGTCTGGTACACCGCACTTTGGGGTCCAACGCACTTTGGGGTCAAAATCGAGAAGTTGACCCCAAAAGCGTTAATATGCTTCATATCAACGCACTTTGGGTTCAAGAGTTCTGAAGGTGTCAACTGAGTTCTGCTTAAATACTGAGTACTGACTTATTTTCGATCTTCCACATTGAAATATATGAGGTGGAGTTCAAGATGGCGGTCGATACTTTGATGCTTAAGTGATAAAAGTTTCATTAATTTTACCATTTGAAATATCTAGTAAAAATTGTGTCCATATTAGAAAGAACTCTAGTACATAACTTGTGAATGTATTCCTAAATTTAAAAGATGCTGTGAAAAATATCCTGTGTCAGTCATTTACTTGATATCTGTTGGTGCCATATTGAGCCCCATTTTAAATATGATGGGGATGAAATAAAATGCAAGAACTATAAATATACTCCTTTACAATGTTCCGGTGAAATATCAAGTTTCTCGATCGCACTTTAAATAGTGATTTTACAAAATTTAATACATTATAAAGTTTATCAACAAAGTTTTTTTGTAAGCTCCGTAACAACCGTTCGCCAGAGGCTTTTTTAATGGAAAATCTTACATACTTCTTAAGAAAGGGCAAACATGAATTTTATAATGCTTAAATAATGGTATCAGAGAAATGACAGATGCTTGTTACCTGAATAAAGTAGTGATAAATGTGAAATAATTTGTCATGTAAACATTGGAGTATGTGACATCCATATAAAATACTTTTTCACTTTAACTGTATTCATTGCCAAAAATAGACAGATGAAAAGATCAGTTTAAGGTAAGTTGCCAATGAGTAAAGGACTCAACAGACGGTAGGATTTAGTTGTACAACACTAATTAGAGAAATGATATACAATTTTCATGGCAATACAACACTGGCATTCAGCTAGTGATTCTACATTGTAGGGATCATCTCTCAAAAACAGTTCCCTCCCAATTGATCCCTTACATTCTTTACTCACTAAAAAAGTATTTTTTCTCCATGACTAATGATTGAAACACTTTGATTTTTTTTTTTTTTTTTTTTTTTTTTTTTTTAAAAAATCTATAATTGTCACAGGGCGAGATTGATGTGCAGCCTGGCAAAGACGCGAACATGGGACCCTCGAAATACCGTACTGCGGCTCTACTGACTGAGCAATCCAGCCGCTAACAAACAACATCCACTGAATGACATTTTCTGAATAATTTGGGAATCGAACATATCACAACTTTGGGCCTCTTAAAGAATTGCTCAACATCATTTTTACCCTCATCTTACTACATGTACTATGTTTACAGCCCTAATTGTTCTGGAAGTTCATTCATTAAACTAATTATCAGTGAATAATTGGGAAATATGTCATCTGTCATCGTGGTAGGTCTATAAAACAAGTATTAAGAGATAAAGCATGTCCTGTCCTGAAAATCTAGTATTAACTTGTATGAATTCAAGAAATAGTAGCATTCTGCTTGTACATCTTATTTTTAATTGGTGTTGTACTCCAAAATCTTACTGTCTGTTGAGGCCTTCACATAATTATATATATATCAAGCGACTGTTATTGATTTTTATCTTTTTGATAATTTATAAACAATTGATGTGACAAGTGTTGCGTAATGATTGAATGTATATGTAGAAATAGAAAGGTGACTATACAAGTACTTAATGAAAATGTGTTCAACTCAAATAAATGTAAGAAATACAGACTACAAAACAATTTACATCCCAAACGCTGTGTACATGTATATTTTCTTGATATTTAGATGCATGTAAATCTCAAGGTATGAATGTTTTTTTTTATTTATAGATTTTAATTAATATTTGTTGACAGGACATTCATGCTATAAGCTACATAATTAGTATAGGGTCCCAGGTTCAAGTATCAGTCAGACTGCACATTAATCTCGCACTGTGACAATTATAGACTTTGAAAAATGGAGGTGTTTCAATTATTTCTCATGGAGAAAAAAGTATTTTTTAGAAAGTAAAGTATTTAAGGGATCAATTGGGAGAGAACTGTTTTTTTAGGGAAACCTGATTATTCCTATAATGTAGAATTACTGTCCGAATGCAAGTGTGTATTGCTTTGAAAACTGTACATCGTATCTCTAATTGGTATTGTACAACTAAATCCTACCGTCTGTTGAGGCTTTGAAGAATTAAGAGCCATAAATATAAACTATATGATGAGATGGTTTGTAAAAACAGTGCTTTGCAACTTTAAAAGATGAGTAAATGATTATCTTTTGATGATCACATGCTCATATTCTATTCCTGTCCAATTAAATTTTTACTTTTACTATATAGTCATCACTGCTTTGCTTCCACATACCTTTCTTTCTGTTCCATGTTAGTGAACACTACTTGGGTCCAGTCATTCAACGTCAACTGACGGGATCACCTATTGAAGACGTGTTGGATGTGTTTTCGTCGTCTGGCTCTTATTCCAGCTCTATAAAAACGGTTTCGGATTGTTTGTATAAATTCATACACCTGTGGCATTCAGCAAGTCATTTGACAATGCAGTACAAAGCGCTGACGTCGCGCTTGAACGATAATAAAACGGCCTTCACGACGCCCACCATGCCTACGCCTGCTATTTTGGTGATCCACACCTTTGAAACAGTTCTCTAGAGCACCCAAAGGACAACTGCAAAATGCCATCTGGAGCACCTTTCCTCAAGCACCCCAGTAACCCAATTCATCTCTCCGGCGTCAATATGCTTTCTTATTCTTAGTTAAGTTAACATATTTGATTGCATCAAATACATGTCAATTGATAAGTTTATAACAAAAAGCTAATGGGTTTGGTAAAAAGTTAAAGCATTATTAGATTAAGCCCTTCCCAAGCCGTACCAAATATAAGCTTTGCACAAGCAAAATTTGAATATAATCGATAATGTTCACATGAAGGGACTTGCCGATGACGCATCCTTGTTATAGATATCACCTATCCCGTGGATATCAAGCAAGGTATGAGTTCATAACAACATCTTCTGGACAGGTCGGGTTTGTCATTTGAATAATATACATGACTGTATGAAAAAAAATCCTTATCTTGGGTTTACAATTAAAGGGATATCTAAGAAATAAAAAGCGATCCTTATCAAATTTAGTATACTTAATTTATTCATAAAATAAATTGACGTAACATTTTTCACTAGATACATTTAAGCCGCGTCATGACAAAACCAACATAAAGGGTTATCGACCAGCATAGATCCAGACCACCCTGTTCGCTGACAAACTCTATAACAAGTAGAGAAACTAATAGCGAACAGCATGGATCCTGATCAGACTGCGCGGATGCGCAGGCTGGTCTGGATCCATGCTGGTCGCAAACCCATTATGTTGGTTTTGTCATGACACGGCTCATTTAAAATCAAAGCAAATTGATGCATAAAAGTGAGAAATAAGTACACAGTCAATCAGAATTTGAAGAATCTTCTATAAATTCAAAATCATATCTTAATATAAAGATAAATTCAAATACGCTCTAAATAAATTTTTTTGTTACATTGCCATACTTATTATAAATTATATAAAACTGTAATTTGAGAGCTCTTTACAAAATACAAATTTGTGATAGATACATCTCTATATTATACATCTCTATTATGTAGCTGTAGCAACATTTTCCCACCTATAATATTCTGTTGTTTATTGCTACTAAACTGCATATATTTTTATTAAATGTCTTTTCATCTCGACAAATTTAGATTAATATGATTTGATATTAAGATCTTTCTTGTATTATTATTTTCCATATTGATTTGAAAAAGTTTTCAAGTGATTAAATTGTCATCGCCCATTCTGAAACTGTAGAATTCAATGTGGGCAGTTGTAGACATTCTGTCGATGAAGCAGATCTTCCGTGGTCGATTTTTGCGTCATCTAGAATAAATTTAAGGTTGTCTCTTTTACAAGGTTTGCTTAAAATTTCAGTCCGTTATCGATAAATTTGTTTTGTTTGAAACAAACATAAATTTCATTACATTTATTTTTGAATTTTCAACATTGATTAACATGTCTTGATCTTAGTAGTTTATATAAAAGATATCGTGTTTATATATATTTTACTATATGCATGATTGAATTATTTCTCTTCTTTTTTAAACATCCATCAGATCCTTAGAATTTCAGGCATCATTTTTATTTGTTTGGGTCGTCAGACCAAACAATTAATGGTAGCGAAATGTCAGAGCCTATTGCTGTTCATTGCAAACTCTTTTTTTTGAAGCGGTTACTTCCCTTTATATGTACACTAACGCCGAAAAATTCAGGGGAGATCAATGCGTAAAGATTGTCAAATGACAGGCGCAATAATGTTCAAGCAAAGAAGTTCCAAAATGGTCGAAGATTTATTATATTGTTTCATTCTTTATAGATATACATGCTTATAGTAAGATTCATGATTATTTACATCTTTGTTTAGCGTCGAAATAATAAGAGTTACAAACCCTAATTTAGAATAATATGGTTTTCTTCGGCCATTAACATATAACTTCACCGTGGCCGAGGGGTTTGCACGCTCGCTTATGAATTGAGATATCTCGAGTTCAAATCCCAGTTGAGGCAACTCATTTTTTTTACATTTTTTAGGTCAAATAAACATTGAATTGACTATCAGTGTTGCAATTAATCTTAAAGCCAATTAACTACAGTTAAAACACTGGAAAGCACTGGTGGCACTATACAAAAACAAATTGGTTTATAATCTCACAACCTTCACCTTTCTGACATTCTCAGACCCAAACAAATTCAGAGCCTTCTGTGCTTTGATTTTAAATATACAACTTACTTATACTACCACCTCTTGGGTAAATTTTCTTGATGATACTTTCTCTTTCTGTTCATTTCCTCGCATTGCTTTTTTAACCTGATATTTAAAATTGCAATGAAACATAATGGTGTCCTTTCAAACTGGACAATACCTCAATATAAAAAAATCGGTCCGTCAGTTATTCTACTCAGGTGCCCTTTTGTGCCTGAAATAATGCAAGGAGGGGCACCTAAGATGTTTCTCCACCTATAAAGGTGGAAAGTCGCCATATGACCTATGCTGTGTTAACGAGACGTAAAATCCAACCAAAAACATATACAAATAAAACAGTGGGGGACGGTGATATAAATAAAATTTAAAAAAAAACGGTTCATTCGAACAGGTTGTAAACAGTTAAGGAACAGAGTATGCTAATGTGTTATGTTATACATATTATATATATAACAGCATATATTTCAAATGTGCGTTTAGTAACAAAATTCTAATTCTCTGAAATTTTTATGTTTATATGATAAGCTTATTCGTGCAAGTCATTTATTTAAATATATATTTCAGCAATTTTTAATAATAAAAATGATAAAATAAAAAGTGTACGTAGATCTACATGTAAGTTATCAGTTCAATATTTACCTGTTTATTTAGGACGCAGTGAAAGACAAATATGAACACTCCCTGAAACAAAGGTTGTATGAGTATTCAATATAATGAAACATCAAAACAATAGAAAATACAGGGAATTTAACTACATTATTTCAAAGAAAATTGAGGGTTATTAACATTCTGTAATGTTCTATCTTTAGCAATTTTAACGTGCAAAACAAAGTAAATTCAAACGAAAAAATTTTCGTATAAAAACATTCACATTTTGGAGAGGCAAAAACTTGAATTCATATAATTTGCATCAGAAATAAAAGTTTCTTTTTGCATGATTTTTGTACATAGATTAATTATCGTCGTTACATAATTAATTGTTCATCTATGTCATGGAAATGTAAAAAAAGGTTTAAGAATAATTTGTTATCAGAGTTGTAAGTTATATCCATTTAAATGATTTAAATGCGTATGCTACATTTAATGATATATAGACAGAATGAAGACTGCCTAGAAAGGCACATTCATATTATCTTTTATCCTTGTGTTTTAAGGTATAACCCTTCTAATGTATTATCCACACAACTGGTAAACCCTACCGTGAATTATGTTTAAAGTTTACATACAGTTTCCATTTCAGGCATATAAATTTTGCATACACTTGTCCTTTAGGGCATTTAACCGACCTATGGTGTCAATTCATCAGTTACTTATAGTATCCATAATTGGGGTAATACCTTGAAATTAATATTGAGATAAAAGTAGCAAAGTGTCGTAAACTTAAATAACAAATATTTCTGAATAATCAGTATGGCTGTCATACTAAGTATGTTTAGTTTGTTTCAATGTAAACGTTTTTAAAACGTTTTACAAAACTTTTTTTTAACATATAGACTTGGAGGAAACTAATCACTAAAGCACTTTACGTTTCAAATTCTTTTGATAATATTTGCTTTTTTTTGGTTTTCGTACTTTTTTGTTATATACACGCTTAAGAATATGATAATTAGTTCGTAAAAAATCAATGTAACCTATTAAAATGTACGGAAAAACTATAAACATACCTGTAGTCCATTAAAAACTGCAAATATGTACTGTACAGAGTCTGACTTATCTCCCATGTAAAACATTCCAACAATCCATGTAATTCCTAGTAGTGGAAGCATTACACACAGTGCCCATATACTTGTTCTAAATACAATTAAATAATTTATATTAATTATCATCTTAAAGGCAAATTATACCTCAGAAATCCATATATTCTTAATTCTGTAGAAATGCCAAATATATTATTAATGTTTTAATCATAGACTTAGAGCATGTTAAATGTTAAAAAGCCCATTATGCCTCAGAAATGCTTTTTATTCCTTATTAAAGCTTTTTAATTTGGGTGAACTTTTATAGTATCAAAAAAGTTCTAGTCGGCCGATTACCTAGACCATCTGTTACATCTGTTATTTTTGGCAATAAGTATAATTTTAGTTAATATGTATTTTTGTATGGAAGTCAAAATACTACTTTGTTTTCATTTAGCTATTTTTATGACAAATTATTTCACATTTATCACTAGTTTCTTCAGATAACATAACAAACATCTAATATTCTCTAAAACAATTATTTAAACATTATAAAATTCTTGTTTGTCCTTTCTAAAGAAGTAAAAATGTATCTCATATATATGGCAAATGAGTATTTTACTTTTGGAAACTGAATCAAGATACAAAAATTAGAAGTTTTTGAGAAATAAAAGTGATGGCATTTCTGAAGCATAATGGACCGTTAAAACAGCAATCGTAGTTATATAAAAACAATAACGTGACATATTTTATCATCTGTAAATTATCATTACAAGTTTAAATTTACATTACAGAAACAGATAGTTCTATAAAAAAAACTAAAAACGACTGTGTTATTCAAATTATCATGGCAATCAAGGGCATTTAATATTAAAAATTCTTAAACTTAGATGTTTTAGATGTAGATATATATATTTTTTCAATTTCAACCTGAAGAAATTAATTAAATGTAATGATGGAACTTTGTAAATATTTAAATAACAAAAGAAAGCAATATCTGAATGCAATAAAAAAGGCTGGCCCAACAGGGATAAAATTTTCTAGAATAGCAAACATACTTTATTTTCTTGCCAACTGGCTGTATCTTTACTGCTCTTGTACGATAGATAGCACGTATAACCAGACATAGACATATTGCATTGAACTTGAAAAGAAATACATAAATATATAAATATTACCAATATAGTCATCATAAATAAGCTTTGTTGTTCGGGATGATGACACTGCTATATCAAATACAGATGTATTTGTAGTATGTTTATAATACAATCAGAAATTACAACATGTCTATAATATAATAAGAAATTAAGTATCAAATTCATAAAGACTATCAAAGAGTCTAGAGCATTAGTCATATTTCAATGGAGTCGCATAAACCACCATTTGTATTTGCTTATTTTAAAAAACTCGATGGACGATAAAAATAAAGACAAAATATAAAAAAAACACGCTCACAGAAATAATAGCAATGGCTGGACCAACAAATGACCAGATCAACCCATTGTCTGACGTTAACCAGCATCTGAAATTATTTGCATGAAGACTTTACTATACCATTTATAAAAATAAAAAGGAAAAATAAGTTTTATGTAAAATAGAAAGTTATTTTTTTATCCAAACATCCCAAAACTTTGGAAGAAACACTTAAATGATGATCGTTTATATAAGTATTATCTTTGACCCTGTCAAAATAAGGAAAAGGATAAAAACACTTAAGATGTTCATATAAATATATTTAAAATAATGCATGTAATAAAGATGTTTAATATCTTACAGATTCTTATTCCCATAGCCGTCTAGCATTGACGCGCACATTGAAATGGCAACAATACCAGCTGGTAAACCTGAAAGAACGGACATGATGTTAATGTACGCAATCTTGTCTGATCAAGTATAACGTGATTTCAATATAAATAACAAATACAACAGAGGTGACACATAATATTTATTTTAATAAGGAAACATCGCTTACCCCATGCTATGGCAAGAAGAGTTTTCAAATTGAATTTCGTCTTGAAAACATATTGTACTGCTATGGCAAGTTGGATTCCATGTACAAACATTATACCAAATACAACAAGGAAAATATAATGCAGAAATACTGCTATTGCCGTGCAAAGTTTCTGTAATAGATATAAACGATTCTATAAATTAAGTTATAATTGATCCTAGTGGTAAAACAGACATTCAATTAATTATATTTATTATCAAATATTCCTTTACATGTATGATTGTATATCAGAAATAATGAGCATTTACTTATTTTTGTATTAGACCGTAGAACGTACCCTGTCCAGACATCCTTTAAAATATATGCATTTACCTCATAACTTATTTCATCTGTCTTTTTACAAATACGATACAGAGTGCAAGATAGTAACAATTGTTCAATAACCTATTCACATGTAACAATTTGCTTAAAACAATTCACATTTAACTTACTTTGTTCTTTGTTCTGTTGATACCAATTAGGAATAGAAGGTATGCGAGAATTAACCCAACGCATAAATGAATCATCAAAGTTGTTCGCTCACTTTTTAAATGCCTACAGATAAACCATAGAAAAGTTACATTTCAACAGTATGAACTGTATGAAAATTGATATTTTATCAAAAAAATATGACAACATTACTAAAGCTTATATGAAGGTATGTATTATCCGAAAGAGCAAGCAAATCAGAATGACATTAACAATTTGATAGAAAATACAATGCTTTCATTATTAATGATCAAGTTCCAGCTTCTGTGTTGTTTTTCAATAATAACAAAGAAAAATTGACAAATTCAGTTAAGATATATATAGTAAAGTTATACTTTCTTTACTCATTTAATCAAATTTGTTAAAACTTGTTAATATTTTTTTTTTAGAAAATAAAATTCCCAAAACGTCCGTAACAATGTCAATAAAATAATTTTGTTTTTAGTGGCAGTAACTTTGCATTATATTTATTCCTTATTATGCCAGACTAAAGAAGCTTATTTACTTGGCAAACCAATTAACTACATGTTCATTCAAATGATCAATCAAAATACAATACTAATGAGTGACTTTATATATTTATTTATATTATAAAACTGTAACAATTCTGGAATGGGAAAAACGGAAAAAGTTGTAGAATTGGTTATATTCATTCTGTACCTAAAAGTTTTTGGGAAAAGAAATATCTGTCACAACTCAACTGGAGCACCGAATAAAGCAGATTCAACACTCAACGCTAGTTGTATTGGACTCAATAATCCAGAAGAACCGACAAATAACAACACGGAGATGAGACGTGAAAGTTTTACAGTCGCAGCCATACACTTAAGATCTGCTGTTGTGTATGTAAACATTTTAGAAAAGTTTTTCCATGATAGCAATGAATTAAAAGAAACAAAAATCAATGACAAAGAATAGATGAATTTGCAAACCTAGATAAATGGAGTCCATTCATAAGAGATCATGAATACGCAGCAACATTTCATGCCCCTAATACTGATTTGCATATTTTCTTACCCTCATCGCAATGATCAGAAAGTGTCACAAAATACACTTACTTCCAGAACGTAACGTGTACAACAATTGTTGCCACCAAACAAAGTATGGATAAAGATAGGCAGACAATTGAAATAATGCGAAGATCCCAAGCTGATTGATCCTTCTGAAATATTAAAAACTCATTTCTATATCTGGTAATGACATACTTGCAGATCAAAATTGCTTTGAATTGTTTTTAAGACATATACAAACTAATTATAAAGAAATTTATACATAATCTATATGACTGACAGTAACGCCAGACTGACAAGTTAGATGAAAACAAATTATGAAATGCAATTAAGATAGAGAAAAAACGCAATCACATAAGAAAGACCCAAATGGTAAAAACCGAACATGTTGCAGGCTCGGTTTGATTGATTCTGTTTAGCCTGAATATCACTCTTTTTGACTCCGATGATAGTGTTTGTTTTCTCTTACTATCAACAATTCGAAACACTTAAAACTTATAATCAAAATGTAAAAATGTAACTAAAAACATTGAAAATCTTTCAATTTTAAATCGATTAATTATAGTTAAATAAAAACGATTGTTGCATAAGTGATTACTCTGACTTGTGTATTGTAAGAAATACTTGTATATTTGTAGTATTTTACCTGTTTGATAGGGCTC